AAACATTTTTCTGCACTATTTGGCGACATACACTCGCTTTCGTGTGTGCATGTGCGTGTGTGTTAGCTGTGCGTGCTTGGGCTGTAGAGGACAAGGTCTATTTTAACTAACTAAATCGCCTAATGATAATAATAATAATAATCGTATATATGATAAACTGACATGATGACAAGAGAATGGAAGCAGTAATTAGACAATTAATTACAACACACAATCTAGTTATTTATGTCATACTTGTTCTTGGTTGGAATAATGAAAACTTAAACTTAATTCCACGAGAACAGCAATAATAATTCTGTACACCACAGAGACACAAAGCACAAATGCCTCTATTTCTTTCTTTAATTTTCTCTTCTCTTGATGCAGAAATGAAAACAACCTCCATGTGTATGTGTGTGTGCCCGCGTAAAATGACAACAGGTACATACATGCGCTCGCATACTGTGAATGCAGTAATAGTCGTTGTTGTAATATTAGTGTGTATTGGTAACACTAATATTAATAATAATAATAATAATACACGATCAATAAATCAACCTATAATATTCACAACAATAATAATAGTAATAGTAACTACATACATATTTCTCTTTCTCTGACTACAAGCACACGCGCACGCACGCATCTACCTACACACACGCATTCAACGTGTTGTTTTACATGATTTCTAAACTAGGTAATATATATAGAGAGAGTAAGAATTGAATTTCTGACTTATTGATTTTTTTTTAAATATATGATACATATACATACATACATATATGCGTGTGTGCATATGTTCCTACTTGCCCCTAACACTACACCACACTACACTTTAAAAGGTATAACAAATTTGCGATTGTGTTGATAACAGCTGATTTAAGAAATTAGTGTACACTGGGTGAAGGGAGTGGGTCGGCTGGGTTGTGGAGCTAAGGCATTGATTGCTTAACGGCGTAACACATTCATCAATCCCTTCGATCGACTGGAATCTTTGCTAACTCTTCGTTTTCCTGTGTTTTGTGTTCAAGCTTTCACTTTTGAAGGTTGCTAGCCCTAAAACCTATCCCCACACCTCTCATTCTCTGGGCTGACTACTACGGTTAAGAGAATTTTAGGAGTGAGCTGGTGACCGGAAATCAAACCCCCTGACCACGTATGCTATCACAATAAGACAGTGGGACAAAAGTCACCTCCTCGATCAGAAATCAAATCCAAGCTTTCTATACTATGTGGCAGACAGAGATACTCACAACTATACATGTGGTGAGAGCTGGCTGTTAGTCAAAATTGGTAGACAGTTATTTACGTCAATGTTTATGTCCCCAATATTGGTCGTAAGAAAAATGAGAACAAAGGCTTTGCGTAAATGCGGATACAGTTAACACATAGATGATCTGACATTCGAGAAACAACCACAAAGAGATGCAAGGTTAACTTTCTGTGAGAAACAACCAATCAGAGGAGTGCGTTTTTCTGTTAACAATAATCTATAATATGTACATGAAAATCTATAAATATGTGTTGATTTCCTAAATAAACGATCTGTTGCTTGGCCCTTGTCTTCTGTTGCTACATACATACATACGATAGAGGAGCACCTTAACACTTCGTATTTGCATTCAAAGCGAGAATTATGCAGACAACTATGGACAGCAACTCAACTGGAAGAATGTTAAACATCTAGAGTAAGAAAACATCCCAAACGCTAGGGAAGAGTTTGCCTAGAAAGACGTCTGGTACTCAGACGAATCTGTAATCAATAGATACATTGATTAATTAGTGAAAAAGAAGTCATGTGAATAAAAAATGTCAAAAAATAGGTCAACAAAATAATCAGTAATCAATCAGTACGACTGAGGTTAAAAGGCTAAAAAAGCTTCTCCAGGTACAATAAGTCACAATCAAATACATCAAAAGAAACAGTTATCACACTCAGAAATACAATTCTCAAAGATCACTCCTCTTAATGTAGGAGAGACTATGAACATGCGTTGTCTTCTTATTTATCTATTAAAACAAAAGCTTGGCACAAAACTTTCACCAAGAGATGCGCCACACCAACTGCGACCTTATAGTTTGTGCGACACAGCTGGGATAATGCCCCGACCGACGTAGGTGGTTGTTGTCTGAAAAGACCACTGCCTCCCGCCAACGAGCCTTTCATATGAAGTTTGATCCACAATGGAATGAAGCAGGTTCACACTTTATTTTGGAGCGGATATACACGGTAGGTTTGGAATCAGGATTTTCCACACACACACACACACACACCACAGTTAGGTAGGCCTGTACGTCCACAGTTCCAGTTGTAGACCATTTCACTTTCGTGAGGAACACTATGCCCGCGTGAAGACAGGTGGATAGGATTTATATGGCAGAGGCTATAAACGCGTTGTAGCCACATGAGAGCGTTTTGAGAGGAAGACCGAAGTCTACCCATCCCCTTAGCCGTACCAGGTCGTTTATGTCCTCGTCTAGGAAGATAAAAAAAGCTACGTAATTAAATCATTCAGCTCAGTGAATATATATATATATATATTCCCCACTACGTCATTAAAGAACAAGTAACAGTCACTGACTGACCAACTGCCTGGTTCCAACGTAGAACTTTGCACTGATGTGCGGCAGTTCGAGTCGCCACACACCCTTCTTGTAGCACATAAAGAGGTTTAAAACAAATACAATAAACAGAGATATGGAGCAAAAAGAATAGTAATACGGAAGAACAATGTCGTTTTATTGGATATTATAAGTCACAAAGAGTGGATGAATCTGCGTCATTAAGAACGATTTCGAGACATATCACCAACTGTCTCCAGCCTTCATTGGTTTTTATCGTCCCGAGGACCCCAACTGACCGATAGCTGCTACTTTGACGTGATGGTTGGGTTTGCATATCGCTATGACCCAACATGCTACACTGGCTGGGATTATTGTTCCTGCAGGTCCTACCATGCCAGGAAGATTGTTAGGATAGTGATTAGAATAAAGACAGTTACCGGCATAATGGAAGAATTTTTTTGTTTTACACTACTCTGGGAGTCTGAGGGCGAAATCGTACTGCTGGAGAACAGCGATGTAACAGCAGTAAGGTGTTTCCTTCAGATGACCAGCATCCCTGCCAGCCAGCTATGCTGTCTCTCTACTCTGGAGGGAGGGGGTCATAAAAGGTCGACCCCAGCAATTGTACATCCCGACACCCTACGGTAGTCCTTAACCGGCGGTAAGTTGACTAATAAGAGACCAATCCAAGAAACCGGTTCATACAGGTCGTGTGTGACCGGTCGGCTTCGAATAGTTGTCCCTTGGTCTCTGCGGTCACGCAACACTAACTCTCCTTCTATTTCAGATAACTCAAGAAAAAATTAACTTCCACGGTACGGGTAACCGGGAAGTAACACCCTTCGCCCACACACTTCCAAAAGCACACGAAACAGTTACTAGACATCACAGATTAAAGACATCAGCAATGCGCAGAATAGTACCTCTACTTATCGTCACAACCAAAATGAAAAGCATCCTAGTAAATAACATGCCAATAACGTCTTGCTGTTTAATACAAATACATAATGACTAAGCGCAAAATTGTGAAGTTTTCATAGAAGGTTCATTATTTAGATGCGCTAACAGTCATCAAACGTAAACCACTATAATAAACAAAGAATTTAGTGAAAAACATTCTATTCAAGTGTTGGTTTTGCAGGGATTTGATTGATTGGTTAAAGAATTTCATGATGAGCTGACATCGGTTAGAGAACCACTGGAAAACCAGCTGGAAGTACTGGATAGCTGTTTGGGTCCATTGGATCGGATCCCTGTGACTGAATGAATGATCTCTGAGCTTGCATTGTAACCGGGAGGTTCTGGATTCGAACACCAGTGGGTGAATACTGATGAAGAGTCCCAAACTAGGCTGACAAGACAGCTGTCCAGTACCCGCTGCAGGTTTTCCAATGGTTCTCTAACTGATATCGACTTATGATGAAATCCTGTGAACATTTTATTCGTATATAAAAGAAGAAATCAAGAGAAATTAAACCATGAAACTGAATGTTTGTGGGTGACATGAAGAGGGGGGGGGTCGTAGAAAAAGGAGAAAATGGAAACTTCTAATCAATCGTGGAGCTACTCGCAAGAAAGACTGCAGAGAAAAGATTGAAATGAAGATGTACAACTTTTGAAGACCTACGTGTTCCGCATTCAGCATCTAAGAGAATCATCATAAATCATATTAAATAATCAATCGTAAGACACACAGCGGCAACATCCAGCGCCAATCAGCCACCATCAAAGGGGGGGGATTTGAAAGAGGAGGTTACTTCATTCACTTATCTAGAGAGCATTGTCTCAACTTCACGCAGTCGGGACGGATGGGGATGTCAAATCGAGGGAGAATCGGGAAGGCGAGAAACACATTCATCAACCTGAAACCAATCTAATCTGGAAATCTTCGTCACTCAGCATCAACAACAAACTTCGGTAGGATTTTCAATACAAACAACGTCAAGTCAGTCAGTTCTCTTATACGGATCATAAACTTGGCGACGGGTCACAAAGAATATTTCCAACAGCCGGTTGCAGACCTTTATCAACGACTGTCAAATATCGCTCCTATACTGAAGATCAGATGGCCGGGCCGGAAAGAATTACCAACAAGAAACTATGGGAAGGAACAAACAAAACAAGAACCAATCGCCCAACAAATATGCAGGAGAAAGTGGATTGAGATGGATCGGACACTCGCTGAGGAGACCGCTGGGTGACATCGCGCCCCTCAAGCACTCGAGTGGAACCAGGCCGAAAGGGAAGCACGCGGCGAGTGGGACGTCAGCGCCAGGGTGAAATGGAGGAGATAGTGTGAAGAGGAGTTGAAAAAGTATGGACTAACATGGATTCAGGTGAAAAGTACAGCAGAAGCAAGACAGAAGTGGCAAGTGGAGACGTGGAGTTGAAGCCCTATGTTCCACTAGGAACCCAAGGGAACAATAATAATAATTGTAAGACACACACACACATACCTGTTCAACTGCTGAATTAGCGGCTTTCAGCATACTATCCACATTTTGAAAGTATTCACAGACACGTTTCAAGACAATACCTTTACTTTGATATTGTGATTTTGTTTGTTCATCCGGTGGTAGCAGTTTATACAATTCACTAATCCATGTATTAATACGATCACGACGTCGGCGTTCAACTAGATTGATGAGGTATGAAGAATAAAAATAATAATATTAACAGTGATAATGTAAAAGATAATAATGCTTAAAAAAGTGAGTCGGTGGCATAGCGGTTATGACTCTCGCCGACCGTACACATGGTCCGGGGTTCGACCCCTACCGACGCACACCTGATATCTATGGTCGGCCTGCGAATTTGGGTTACCGATATCACATTCTGAAAATTCCATACCTGTACCAAAAAATACGGTGAGGAATCAAGCTGTAATCCAAAAAAAATAATAAATGAGGGTCGTTCCAAAAGACTGAGATTCGATAATTTTCTCTCTTCTTCATCAGGTTTTACACTTATGTGAATCCATAATAATTAAAGAATTACTGTTACCACAACATTTTGGTCTTCTTAAATGATATTGATTACAGTTCAAAACTATCTGTAAGTGTGTGACAATATGCATCAATATAACAGCTAATTGAATATACGATAAGACAAATAATAAACTTATAGGTTCCACAGAAGGCCAGAGATTAGCAATAATGACTGGGTTTATTTTCTTGGCACACAGACAGAGTTCCAGTGGTTTTAGAGGCGTATTGCAATGGCCTCTGCTGTGTGAAGTAGTCGGTAATTAATTCCATACCTGAACATGAGAGGAAAAGACTCTTGAATAACTAGCTATATGGCATGCTTGAACAAGCTGGTCTAACATCAAACTGTTTATGGTCATTACTACACCACTAACTCAGCAATACTAGTAGGTGTTCCAGAAGACGTGAAAGTAAGTTTCTAGTGTAATGGTCAATATAACTCTCTTCAAAAGTAGTTGAATTGATAGAAACAGGTCTAATGAGTCATTATATTGTTACATTGTTACCTGTTGTGAAACCTGTATATTCATAAAATTCTATATCTTTATTTTTCTCAGTTGATCTGGTATTCAACCAGTTTAGAGTTAATATTGGTGCCCATTACCACTTGCATAGGCTTTTGAATTATAATGCTATCGATAGTAAAGCATTACTAGTGGCAATCATTATAATAATCCTTTAATTTTGAAGAATTAGTTTGTAGGGATTCTACATGTTTCAGATTAGGCCACGGAGTGAAATCAGATAGAGAACAACCAAAAAAAAAACCAGCGTACAGTACTGGACAGCTGTATCGGTCCTAGTTTTGGACTCATTGACAGTATGCACCCACCGATCAGGAATCGAACTCAGGACCTTCCAGTTATAAGACAAGCTTTTAGACCATTCATTCAACCACTGGGGCCCGATTCAATGGTGCATGCGTGTGTGAACGCACATACATAGGGAGGAGTAATAGTGCTTTGCCTGTGAGAGTGGGAGAGCATATCCCGAAACGGTTAAGAAAAACAAATGAACTGTGGAAAACCAATAATGCAGGTGTCAGACTACCAACTCGGTCTATAGCCAAACATCTAATCAAGATGAACCATAAGATTGATGTGAACTCAGCCTTCAAGGTCGTCTATAAAGATGGTCAAGGGCGCTTATTGAAATCCGCTGAGGCTATAGCTATTCATAAACATACCCCCCCCCCTGTGTATTCAGAAACAGTATATTATTACTCTTAACCCACCACCTTGGTAATCCTTATTTGGTTAAACTACCAAACGTTGTGTTAATCATTTTTAAATCCTTTTTCTGTCACTTTGTTTAATTTAATTGCCCTTAAATTTTCACGTATATAGACTTGACAAGTAAACGTTTGAGGGATCAGATTGTTTGAAATGTATAGCGCAAAGACATCACATCGTTTTTCAGATAATATCCGTCTTCTAATAACACTATACAAATTAATAAAGGGGACTAATTGCTTTTAAATTCTTTAATTGCTATGGTTACATACAACTGAAGAATCTGATGAAGAAGTTGTCGAAATCAATATTTTTGTTTGTCGACTAATCAGTAGTCTTAAATTTTTTAACAATCATTTTTAGTCTATTAGAAAAATATTTCCAGCCAATGTGTGTCTCCACTTGAATAACTTTGCAATAACCCAAGATTGACTTGCTTAGACTGCTCTCTCATTCCTAACACAGCCAGCCACTGTGTGTGTGTGTGTGCATGATGCACTACTCCGCGAATCTTTGTCTAATCATCATACCCTTTTATCCAAAGTTCTTTTTACACTTACCACTTACGTATGATGTGAAAAATCGCAAAATATGACCGATTGAGTTTCAAAATTCATAACTTAATATGATTATGAACAGCAATAAATTGTGTTCGACACATCATCATCATCCAGTAGTAAATAATGCAGTTTCACTTTATGTGTGACATGTCTAATAAACAAATTAATATGGAATTACATACTACCACCGATGAGTGCGTCGATGGCGCAGCGATAGAATGGTCGCCAACCACGCTGCATGTGGTCAGGAGTTCGCCCCCCGGTCGATGCATTCCTTTAACTCGCCAAGCCAGTAAAAAGATGGGTGGGGTTTGGGCTAGGTCAGGCTAGCAACCTCACCATTACTACCGAAACTTAAAGTCTCTAGCTTAAGGCTGCCCCCTATGTACCACTGGGAACGTGAAGGAATGAAAAAAAACTACCACTGTGCTGTCCAACTTTTACTTTTTTTAGGGATTTCAAAATATTAAATATTCCCATAGTAAAATGTAGAACAATAAATTTAAGCGAACAATATTGTGCTTTTATTCAGATCTCATCGTCAGGCTTAACTCTAATATACCTACATTACTTTACAAATAAATATTCAAATACAAACCAATCACAGTGTTTTGTCAATAGGTCAATAGCCTCCAAAGCCTCAGGATGGTCGGGGGTGGGTGTCTTGCGCTGCGGGTTGGCCACCCCTCCGCACTCCTCTTGAAATGCTCCCATATGACCGGGCGTCTTACATAGCCTCTCCTGAGGAAGTCCTACTCACTGCCTTCACGTGGCGGAGGTGTTTCTCACCAAAGTGAGAGGGCGAAAGCGGATGCCCGGCGCTCTCCACCGGGTTGACTGTCCATTGGATGACAGTCTAGGGGAGATGGCTAAACCCTGATTCCAAACCTCCAACGACTGGCGTATGAAGCTCACTGGAGCTCACCGGCAGACGTATGGACAAAGGGCTTGTTGGATGTCCTGGATGTCTGGCCCCATTCAAAAAGGCGTATGAACCGAACTCCGATCACCGGCTGCCAATGGATAGTGGACTCCTTACTCCACTCCTACTGCCTTGTAGGTCACACTTGGTTGTGTAAAGGCTAGAGCTGCACTCTCAAACAAAAGACCGAGCGATTCTGGGGAAATCACTCGTACCAAATTCCCATGAAACTTCATGAACTCTCTTACAAATTGCCGCGCCTGGGCAGCGATGATTCGAGACGTTCATGAAGCCGGCTCATCCTCCCGTAGGAGATAGCCGAAGTAAAGTAAAAGTAAGTAAGTAATAGGTCAATACGACTGAGTGTATAGATTGTGCAATTAGTCATAGTAGTAACGATAATAATAATAATGGTTCTATCAATAACAAGGATGAAAAAATGAGACGATCTGTGATAACAAGAATAACGGAAAACAGCATGGTTAAACAAATAAACAACTGTTCGACGTAGGTGTCGATAAAGGCTAAGAAAAACAAATGAACCGATTAAGTAATGCTAGATTGACTGTAGAGAAGTAAATGAAATACGTTTTAATGAAGCTGTGATAAGATTAATGGATGATAAGAGAGGGGTTGAAAATATAAATAAGGTGTGATGTAGAAGTCATCAGTTGGTTATGTCTTAATAGGCCAACAAGAGAGGGATAATCGCTGTACAAACTCCTTTGGAATGCATAGCTTAGGTTTAAAAGTTCGAATGCTTATCGCCTCAGCTGTGTGTGCGTGCAGTAGACGAATACGAAGTCCACTGGAAAGATTTGGTGGGATATGATGAATTGCCTTGAAAGCTTCCGTTTTCTCCACTACATGACCACCGCCATCTAAATGTGATAAAATGGAGCTATGTATTGTTTTTGTCTGTCCACCCCGATCAGAGATGTTCAGCAGTGATATGTTGGCTAAGCTGTCTAGTAGTACGACCAACATAACTGTCGACTCAGGAGAGCGGTTGAATTGGTAAATGCACATAAATCTGGAAAACTATCTAACTCATCCTTCGTTTGCGTCCCAATCATACATTAAAGAAGTGATGTCACTTAAATCCCTTCCGTCTATTGGTGACTGATACTAGTTGTTGTTGGTGGTTGCGGTGGTCACCCGGGCATCTTCTTCGTACAATCTGTAAACCCTAGTTCAGAATTACATCTTAGAAACCTCTATTTATATACATATATGTATTGCAAATGGACTATATAATCGATTTTCGAGGCCAAACAATGCACGATTATTTGAATTTACAAACACCCACACACGCACACACACCCAATTAGGAACACACTCAAAAACAAAGAGTTTAATTTTTGTTTTCTTTGTGTATGCATGTGTGATAAAGTAATTACAAAACAACTAGCTGTTTGTTTCCTTTTGTCTTTCTACCTCGCTCCCTCCCTCCCTCTCTCGGCATAGATCCACAATTACAACTCGATTTCATATTTATTAAATTTGTTAACTGGATCGCGCAAAACAAAACAAAACACAATGATATGAAATAGAACGAATATTAAAAATACACAAGCGTTGAAATCGATTGAAATGAACGAGAGAAAAAACATATATATAGATCGAAACCAAGGCGCACACACACACACAAACATACACAGGCGTGTTCTAGACACAGAGAGGCATTGGTGATAGTAATCAAAAGGCTACACAAAAACTTATCGATAGATTGATTTAATATGTGGAATATATATGTGCGTGTGGACTGGACTGATAGATAGATATATGCAAATTGTGCATCAATGAACGTGGACTGTAACACAAGTACCTGCATGGGTGTGCACAACGCCACCACACACACACACCCATCCTGATAGTTGCTACCTTGACATGGCGGATGCCCGCCTTGCATATAGCAATGACTCAACGAGCTACACAGGATGGAAGTTGTGTATCTGGATAGTTGTGTGAGTGCTGGCGGAGGGGTGACGGATGAGATTTTCAACCGTATAATGAAGGCTAGAGTGGCATACATCAACTTGAGCCACCTCTGGCGCCGTCGTGACGTTAGCATGGCTGTCAAAGGTCGGGCATACAATGCTTCGGTACGGGCTGTCTTGCTCTATGCCTGTGAAACCTGGCCTCTTCGAGATGAGGATGTGCGGCGACTCTGCGTGTTTGATCATCGCTGTCTCCGCAGGATTGCTTGAGTTCGATGGCATCATCACGTGAGTAATTCTGAGGTTCGGCGGCGTGTGTTTGAACACAGTGGAGATCACCATTCATTGTGTCGTCATCTGGAAACATCGGCTCCGGTGGGTCGGACATGTGCTCCGAATGTCACCCCAGAGGCTTCCGTACAGGTCTCTGTTCGCTAGCCAGCCCTGGGATGGGATGGAAAAGGCGGTCAGTCCATGACGTGACGTCGTGGGATGAAGGATTTTTGTGCTAGATTAGCATCGGTTGGCGCATCATGACTCCTTGGTTGGAGTCCGCGAGATAGCCCGAATCGATGGCTCGAAATGTTATCGGATATGGCCAAGAATAGTAATCAATGGCAAACGTGTTGCAATTTTCTTCTTTCTTCCCTTCCCGATAATAGTTGACGAATACTGTTTGAACTTGTTAAGAATGACTGTTTTCCTTCCAGATGAAGTTCTTTATCCGTTCTCTACTTATATTTTCTACTTTTGATCTATGTCATTTTATTATTATTGTGTGGCGCATCTTTCTTGGTGCCATATTGTACCAAGTTTTCTTCTGCGTCGGTGGAGTAGTGGTTAGGACTCTCGCCGACCATGCACATGGTCCAAGGTTCGATCCCCTGCCGACGCACACCTGATATCTATGGTGGGCCTGCAAAATTTGGGCTACCGATATCCATGCTGAAAATTCCATACTTGTACCAAAAATACATTATGGAATCAAGCTGTAATAAAAAAAATAAAACACAGGATGGAACTTATGTTCTTGAAGGTCCTAACATACCAGAAACATCATTTGATGGCGTTCAGGCTGAAAGCAGTTACCGTCATAGTCTGTGGGTGAAGTTGTACTTACTTACTTTACTTTACTTCGGCTATCTCCTACGGGAGGATGAGCCGGCTTCATGAACGTCTCGAATCATCGCTGCCCAGGCGCGGCAATTGTAAGAGAGTTCATGAAGTTTCATGGGAATTTGGTACGAGTGATGTCCCCAGTTGTACTACTGGCGAATAGTGATATAACAGTAGTAAGGTGTCTGCCTCAAATGACAAGCATACCAGCTAAGCTGCCTTTCCGCTTCGGAGAGGAGGAGAGGGATTAGAAAAGGTCCATTCCGTAAATTATACACCCCTGCTTACCTTAAGGCGGTAAGATCTTAATACAGACGCGAATCCAACAGTCCACTTTATCAAATAAGCAGTGTACAACCGGCCTCAAGCAGTTGTCCCTTGGGCTCTGCAACCACACAACTCTACTCCTCCTGTTTCAGGTTCCATCAATGAGACCGTCAGTATAAGTGAGGGAAAAACTAGTTAATTTGTGCAATATGTGCGGGGGAAAAGTGTGTTAGTTAAAGCCGTATATGTTGTATCAATCAAGTCCCAAACTATCGAATATATACATACAACGGAAACTTTATTTCAAAAAATGGGAATGTTAAAGTGCTGGGATTCAACTCCAGCATTCGCTTCTAAACACCTCACAGTGGAAGAAAATGCACCATATATTGATCGATATTCTGCTCGAATCATCTAGGTATCATTTGCTACTAGACAGGTGAGTCAGTGGTCGAACACGCATGTGATCGGGGTCCAGCCCCCGGTTGACGCATTCTTAAAGCTCGCTACGCCAGTAGTAATCCCAGCAAAGAAGGAAAGTTGGGCATGAAGCTAACAACCTCATCCCGTAAAAATAAACACCACTACTACCGGAACCTCATAACTCTAGCATGAATATATATATATATATATATATATATAATACTACCAGACAAAATGAGTGGAGCTGTGGTTTCGGACTGGTGTAGGCGCTCAACTCCCAACCAGTGTAATTCATGGGTAACGAGCCCCACTACATCTACCGAGGTTTGGGCCAACCAGGTAGTATCACTAGTCCTCAGAACTCAAGAGGTGTGACCGACTGACTGGTTTCAACATAGAACTTGGCACAGATGTACACCAGTTCAATTTGTTACAATCCATGTACCACACAAAGCAAGAGAACAGAGTAGAGAGAGATTCAAGTGGGAGATAATAAAAAGATGTGTGAGTGAGGGAAATCAGCAGTAATATGGAAGAACAGTAAAATTCTATTCGATATGAAAAACCAAAAAGAGTGAGTGCATCTGCGCTATCACTGACTGAGAACGATTTTGAGTCACATCACCGATAACTGTCTCTAGTCTTCATTGGCAATGGTTCTTACTATCCCGAGGACCTCAACCAGCCAGTCAGGAAGTCTGCACCTCCCTACTTGATTGGCTGGATGACCTAAACTAACTGTTGTGGATTTCATTGACTGATGAACCCATGTCTTGCTTTGACTACCGACCACTAGCTCTTTTCCAACAACCTGATCCTTTGTCTTATTATGACAGCTAACATTTCCCGCTGTAGAAGAAGGTGATCGATGGCTAGGGATGCATGCGAAACACATGTCCTAACCACTTCCCTAATTCGATGTAACTTTGCAGCCTCGTCGACTGATTTACCCTCTTTATCTAGTACTCGACCGATGTCTAACTTCAATTTTGCTCACCTTATTGTACCACCGAACACGGGAGATAGAACGCAGACGCCTATGATCTAAGACATAGCTAGCCTGGTTTTCCACATCTTCCACTTTCAATGGTCATGTCTCACTCACAGCTAACCATAAAGGAGGAGGACGTAGCAAATTGGTGAGCAGTACACACGCCCTTTGGTAGACAACCAGCCAGATATCACGTCTACTAAGCCAGAGATAATGTAAGTTGGCGGACATATGTCAAACGAGCCTTCTCTATCCGTACTGAGATTTCGGCAGTGGTCAACCCGCTGGCGTTGGTTGATACAACTTCTCAAATAAGTGAAGTGGTCAACGTGCTCTACCACTTCACGTTGCTATGATGTCTTTCACAAAAGTGGAAGCGCAGATACGGACACCTAACGCGTTTACAACCGAAATGGTGGGCATTCAAGTCTATCTAGGGGGAATGGAACAACCTAATTCTAAACACCTGCGGTTTATACGGGCTCCAGAATTCAATCTGATCAAATGGTGTACGAACCGGGGTTTTTTTCACCAGCACTCATGTGAACGTAAAAGCTCCTGACAACACTGCTCTTAAAATTTAAGTTGAAGACTCAGTAGGGGGGTGGCCTCTTAACTTAAGACACCCACCTGTTTTTTTTCATTACAGCTTGAAACCACACAGTATTTTGTTACAAGTGTGGGATTTTCAGAATGTGATATCGGTAGCCCAAATTTAGCAGGCTGACCATAGGATATCAGGTGTGTGTCGGTAGGGGATAGAAACCCTGACTATGTATATGGTCGGCGAGAGCCCTAACCTCTGTGCCACCGACAGGACTGGACTGGATACGTTGACTCCTAGTTTAAAGATAGGGAGTGAAGTGGGTTGGTGGAGCGTGTTGACCACTTCACTCACTTACTTAGGAAGTTTCCGTCTAGAGGTCTCTTCAATAAATTTAATAAATAATAACCATTGTTGTGAACTTTTCTTATAATACGTATCTAGTCATATTCATATCTCTACCGCTATTAACACTCTTTTTTTCCTTTATATGTTTAAGCCATTCCGGCTTCATTGTAAAATGAATAAAGCCTAAATTCTTGGTTCATTCGTCTTTTCAAGATTCAAGCATCACTCATCGTTCTAAGACTCAATCACCTTCGTAACAATTTATTCATTTTACAATATTCATGGAACGATTTTTCCGACCTGATCGGTTCGACGTAGAACCTAACGCAGTTGGAGCTGCCAAGAAGTGGGATCACTGGTTTGCGACTTTCTCCTACTTCATTGAATCAATGGGATCCGAAAATCCTTCGAAACTACATATTCTCTTCAATCATATTTCTACTTCTGTATACGAATGCATTTCTGAATGCAAAACATACGAAGAAGCTATCGACACTCTCAAGAGTCTCTACATGCAGCCTTGCAACGAAGTGTTTGCTCGACACTTGTTAGCAACGTGTAAACAAGAATCTGGCGAAAATCTGGATCAGTTTGTTCGTCGACTCAAGTCGCTGACTACAGATTGTTCATTCAGGGCAGTTACAGCCGAAGAACATCGTAACGAATCTCTACGTGATTCATTCATCTCAGGTATACAGTCTTCGATGATACGCCAGAGGCTATTAGAACAGCGTACTTTAACTTTTCAAGCGGCATACGATCAAGCACGAGCTCTAGAGATGGCACATCAACAATCGCAGTCATACAACAATCCTGTTACACCTTGCGCGTCCATTTCTTTACATGATGTACCTCATTCATCAGATTCCACACCCTCCGTCAATGAAACAACCATTGCTGCCGTTGAATCCAAATGCTTTTTCTGTGGTAATCGTAGACATCCTCGTTCCAAATGCCCCGCCCGTGATGCAGTTTGCAAAGCTTGTGGCAAGCAAGGACATTTTCAGAAGGTTTGCAGGTCTGCGCCATCTACGAAAAAAGGTCCATCTTCAGTTAACTCTATAATTTCATCTCTCGTTGTGGCTTCAGCACCTCAAAGTCTCACTGATGCTGTTACGCAGCTTACTGTCAATGGGAAATCAATGCAAGCTCTAGTGGATACCGGAAGCAGTGAGAGCTACATCTCTTCCTCAGTTGTTCGTAAGTATAACTGGAAAGTCCATAAGTCTCGAAACAGAATCACAATGGCGAGTACGAATCTTACTAGTCATACTGAAGGACATTGTTTTCTATCCATCTGCTATAAAAACCACACTTATGATCTATTCAAATTTTCCATTCTTCATAATTTATGTGCAGACGTCCTTCTTGGACATGATTTTTTAAAACTTCACAAACACATTGAGATTCCTTTTGGGGGATCAAAGCCGCCTTTTTCTCTCTGTGGTCTACCTTGTGTTCGCGTCGACCTGCCTACCCTGTTTGAAAATCTTTCAAAAGACTGTAAACCGATCGCGATAAAATCCCGGCGTTATTCTCGTGAAGATGAAAGTTTTATTTCCACCGAAGTCAACCGGTTACTGCAAGAAGGTGTTATTGAACCTTCTAATTCTCCTTGGCGAGCTCAAGTTCTTGTTACGTCAAACGAACGCCATAAAAAGAGGATGGTAGTTGATTATAGTCAGACAATCAATCGATTCACTTTTCTGGATGCTTACCCATTACCTAGGATTGACGAAATGATAGAAAAAATCGCACAATATGACATATTCAGCACTCTTGATCTGAAGAATGCTTATCATCAAATTGCCCTAAGGAACGAAGATAAACCATATACTGCTTTCGAGGCTTGTGGGAAACTTTACCAATTTTGCCGAATTCCTTTTGGTGTTACCAATGGCGTAGCTTGTTTTCAACGCATTATCGATGAATTGATCAGTAAAGAACAACTCACAAGCACGTTTGCCTACATTGACAATGTCACTATCTGCGGCAAAACTCAGGAGGAACACGACAAAAATCTAAACAAGTTTATGGTAGCAGCACGCAATTATGGAATAACCCTTAATGATTCCAAAAGTGTGATCTCAAGCAGAAGCATACAATTACTCGGTTATGAAGTTTCAAAGGGGGTTATTAAACCAGATCCCGATCGGCTAAAACCTCTTCGTGATCTAGAACCACCCACAGATATCAAATCTCAACAACGGGCCGTTGGATTATTTGCTTATTATTCACAGTGGATCCCTCGCTTCTCAGATAAAATCCACCCATTGGTAAATAATCGGATTTTCCCTCTTGATATCGAAACTCGAAATGCTTTTGACAAACTGAAAGACGACTTAGAACGTGCAGTCGTTGTGGTAGTTGATCCGAAAGCACCCCTTGTTGTTGAAACAGATGCTTCAGATGTCTCAATTGCAGCTACATTAAACCAGAATGGTAAACCTGTCGCCTTCTTTTCTCGAAGCCTCTCTCGAAGTGAGAAACATCATTCATCGGTTGAGAAAGAAGCCTATGCCGTGGTTGAAGCAATTCGTAAGTGGAAGCATTACCTTCTCGGAAATCACTTCAAACTTGTCACTGATCAACGTTCAGTAGCATTCATGTTTGACAAGATTCATAAAGGCAAAATCAAGAACGATAAAATAATGCGTTGGAGAATTGAGCTATCCCCTTATCAATATGACATCATTTATCGTCCTGGAAGGGATAATCAAGCTGCTGATACATTTTCCCGTAGTTTCTGCGGTTCCTTGCAGTCAGTGTGCGACTTGAAATTTCTCCATGACTCTATGTGCCATCCTGGAGTTGTCCGAATGATGCATTTTGTACGCTCGAGAAACCTTCCATTCTCCCTTGACGAGGTGCGCAATGTAACCAGTAAATGCGTGACATGCTGTGAGTTAAAGCCTCAATTTTACAATCCCTCTAATTTCAAACTCATAAAAGCAACCCAACCTTTTGAAAGGTTAAGCATCGACTTTAAAGGACCTCTACCGTCAGCTAGCCGCAATCACTATCTGCTCACGCTGATCGATGAATATTCTCGATTCCCCTTTGCATTCGCCTGCCCCGACATGTCGTCTCAAACGGTAATGAATTGCCTTTGCCAACTGTTTTCGATTTTCGGTATGCCTTCTTACATACATACCGACAGAGGCGCTGCTTTCATGTCTACCGAATTACGGGCATTTCTTCTGGAGAAAGGCGTAGCAACCAGTCGTACTACCTCATACAATCCTCAAGCCAATGGGCAGGTCGAGCGCCTCAATGGAACACTTTGGCGTGCCATCACTCTAGCATTAAGATCACGGGGCCTACCAACGGCACAATGGGAGTCTGTTCTACTCGACGCCTTGCATTCCATCAGATCTTTGCTCTGTACTGCAACGAACGCCACGCCACACGAACGACTGTTTACCTATAACCGAAGATCGACATCTGGGACAACTCTTCCTACTTGGCTCACTGTGCCAGGACCAGTACTTCTCCGGCGGAGTGTTCGTCAGTCCAAATTCGATCCCCTGGTTGAAGAGGTGGAGCTATTGAATTGTAACCCGCAATTCGCTCACGTTCGCTTCGGTAATGGACGTGAAGATACAGTTGCTCTTCATCATCTGGCACCCAAAGGCGAAGATATAGATCAAGTTGAAAATTCAATACCGGAGGGCGACGCAATTCCTGAGCAACAAGTAAATGGGGATGCGACCACTGATCCTAATATTCTTCGTGAAGAAAATACAACTGAAACGAACAACGGGCGTATTCTTTTGGAAAAACAACAACGTGTACGGCCTTACAATTTGCGTACCAGAGAAGCGTGACATAATGGCTCATTCCTTTTCAAGCCGCAGTGAATGTTGTGAACTTTTCTTATAATACGTATCTAGTCATATTCATATCTCTACCGCTATTAACACTCTTTTTTTCCTTTATATGTTTAAGCCATTCCGGCTTCATTGTAAAATGAATAAAGCCTAAATTCTTGGTTCATTCGTCTTTTCAAGATTCAAGCATCACTCATCGTTCTAAGACTCAATCACCTTCGTAACAACCATTGAATCACACAAAACTTCACTGACTCACAATGCACCACTATCATACCTTAAATCATCTGAAATTATGATTCACTACTCTAAACAAACAATTATGTGCACGTGAATCGTAAATTCCAAGACGAATATGAACCGACCGATTGTAAACACGCACAAAAGACATGGTTAAAGGAATAATCGATAAGATGTTTGACCTAGACTCGCTGAGTCATATTTTAGGTTTTACCGCACGAGATCGCTAACTTAGTTGCATTCGAACTCTGTTACCTGGGAGTTACAATGAGTTGACTATAAGCCGCAGAAATCATGTGAGGAGCCGATAATACCACTACCCAGTTTTTCCCAATAAACTGAAGTAGATGAAGAGAAGGAGAGAGAGACACTCGAACCCAGAACTCACTCTGACTGGAAGTCGAGTGTTAAATGAGTCTTGTAAGTATATAGGAGAGATTAGCTAACCGAGAACTGATTTTTTTTTCATCGGAGTATACGCAAAGAAATTTGTGTTTTTGTGAAAAATACTCAAATCGTAAACACCCCAGAAAGAGAAAACAGTCAGTTAGTTAGTTACCTTCATTATGACTAACACGACGTCTTATATCCTTCGATTCCAAATGTTCCAGATAGGTTGTGGAACCTGTAAAAAGAAGTTAATTCAAAATATTACAATAAAAGAAACATTTGGATAGGAATACTTTGTGTAACAGGAAAAAGACTAGCCTGTCTACGAGCTAATCAATTCCCCCCCCAAAAAAAGTTACAATTCGTCCCTCTCTCTATGGAGAAAGACAAACCTTGTGTGCATTCTTTTTCATCAAGTATCCAGAAAATATGTACCGAAAAATATACTGACCAAGAGCTGCAAAATATCCAACGAATATTGATGGAAACCGATTTCCCACTCAGATGCACAGACAGGAATCTAATACCAAAGAAAGCTTCTGAACAGGTCCAGATCACCTCCCCCACCCCCCCTAAAGACGCTGCCGCTTAATCTCGAATCTAAAAGTGATACTGAGGCGGAAATTTACCGAAAACAGCTTTCGAAATCTCTCAGTAATACTTACTTCGCCACCAGTCTACCAGTGACATTTTCTTACAAGCAGTTAGCAGCACGTGAAAGACAAACTGTCGCACTGAGTCACTTCAACATGTATATACCAGTTCACACGCTATTGTGGAGATGGAACTTTCTCATCCACTTCGTGTTTTTATTCATTTTTTTTATTTTTTTTATTACAGCTTGATTCCACATTGCATTTTTGGTACAAGTATGGAATTTTCAGCATGGATATCGGTAGCCCAAATTTTGCAGGCCCACCATAGATATCAGGTGTGCGTCAGCAGGGGATCGAACCTCGGACCATGTGCATGGTCGGTGAGAGTCCTAACCACTGTGCCACCGACGCACACGAATGTACAGTCCAGTTGATTATTTCATCGAAAAGAAAATTTTCTTCATTGCATTTGTCCTTTTAAATTTTCCAACATCGGATTCAACTGAAGTTGATAGCACGCACACACATACCACCCCTACAGACTAATTGACTGACTAAATTTCAACAAAGAACCTAGCAAAGAAATGCAACAGTTTACATTGCCACACTGCATATTGGTACACACAAAGGTAGAGAAGAAAGAATTCAAATGAACTGTAAATAGCACAAATGTACGGGAGAAAGAAAGAAAGAATAGTGTAACATGAAAAAACTTGATGGTTTAATGATTCCTGGAGATGACGACGAAGAGTCAATACACCTGCGTCATCGATTCATTATCCCCAACAATCTCAGGCTATTGATTCTTAGAATCCTGAAGACTGTAACAAGGAAGTCCACACCTCTCTACTTAATTGGCTCAAACCAACAACTAACATCTCTATGGCAGGATAGAAGGTTTTGGTTGAACCATTCTTAACAATTTTTCAACCCTACATCAATTAACATTGTTCGTTGAGGAAGGTGACTGATGGCTAGGGATGCGTACGTAACACACGTCCTAACTATCTCTCTCAGTCGATGTTACTTCACAACCTCGTCGATTGATTTCCTCTCCCACCTACCTAGCACTCGACCGGAACCTAACCTCAATACTGCTCACCTTATTACACGACCTAACACGGGAGATAGAACGCAGACACCTATGATCAAAGACAGCTAGCTAGACTGGCTTTTATGTCTTCAACTTTCAATGACCGTATCTCACAACCATAAAGGAGGATGGTTGACTGACTGATTTCTACATAAAGTTTAGCAGTTCGAGCTGCTACACTCCGTGTTGTACACAAAAGAAAGAGTAAAGAGAGATTCAAAAGAACAATCATAAACAGACATGTACGGCAGAAAGGGTAGTAACACAGGAAGGAGGATCACGGAGTGAATTGTTGAGTAATATATAGACACGTCATTCAATTGACATCCAACCGGATATATCACATCGATACCATCAAAGATGGTGTAAATTGGCAAATGCAAAAATATAAGCCTTTTGTATCCGTGCTAAGATTTCTGTCTCAGTGTGTGAGTGAACGCCACTACTACTACTACTACTACTGTGGTGAGACAGCTGCCTGTTAGCCAAAATTGGTAGACACCAATTTACGTCAATGTTCACCTCCCAAATCTTGGTGCTGAGAAAAACAAGAACAAAGACTTTGTGTGGGCAGATACAATTCGCAGATAGATGATCTGACCTTCAAAGAAACGGCCACAAAGAGGTGACAGATTAACTTTCAGCGAGGAAACAGCCAATCAGAAGACTCTGTTTGTCTGCTGACAATAGCGCTAATAATAATGTACACAAAAAATCTATAAATATCTGTTGATTTTCTCAATAAACGATCTGTCGCCTGACCCTTGTCTTCTGTCGTTACACTACTACTAATAAGCATGATAAATTATCATATGACAAATTCAGTAAAACGACAACAACAACAAAAAAGAGAAGACATACGTGAATGATTGATCTCATAAAGTTAACAAATGACGCGAATGAATTGCTAAAAAATACTGAGTCATTCACTCACCCTTACCTTGCTCCGATCGACTAGTACTACCAGAAGTATTCAACACCGTACCACCACCACCACCTGTGACTGAATTCCTACGACATTCATCCATGGAGTTATGATTATTATTCGATTTAGATATTGTATCAGTTTTAGGAGCTATCGCCGGAGCGAATGTTGTAGTCACTGGGGCAATATTCGGACGTGATATCGATGATTGAAAATGTCCATTGGTTAGTGATTCATTCGCATTATTATTATGATTACTCGAGTTGATGAGTGAATTACCGCCACTACTCGGGACTGAACACACTTGATTAATTAACATCGAGTTTGAAGTATCATGATGAAAGAATGCATTATTTGATGTTGTAGACAATGCAGAAGTCGAAGAAGAAGAAGTTAATATAGGTTGTCGTATATTTGTACTATTACTACTATGAGGTATATGTTGGGATAATTGTTGTGTATACGTTGGATATGATCTAAATCGATTGGCTTCATCTACCAGAGATGAATAGGCATGACCATTTGGCGTGTACATATCAGGATCACCTTTAATAATTAGGTATTGGAATAAGGGAGAGAGAGAGAAGGCATACAATTCTTTAATAATCAATCATCATTTTCACAAGCATATACACATACATATAAGTCGTGTTGATGCACAAAAGGATGATCATAAGGCATCTGAAATTGGGGGTGGGGGGCGGAGGTTACTGTTGCAACCAACTATCCGCAAATGAGATTCAATATAATGTATCAATAAACAGCAGTTAATTATAAACATTCGCGTATCACGTATAATAATAATTATTATTATGAGGGGGAGACAGAAAAAGCAATGGAAATCTATTTAGTAGTCTTCAAACACTATAGGATAAGAACGCATTCCAGCCACATTTCAGGGAACAGGAATCTAGAAGTAAACTACTTTGCCTAACCTAACGTCTATCCCCGCTGACGTTATGATTCGACCAAAGGCGATAAAAACCCCCAGCTTATCGCTACACTCAACGCTTACTTAATCAATGAAAGTATATCTTATCTCATTTATTTTTTTTATCTATTTTTGATTACAGCTTGATTCCACACAGTATTTTTTGGTACAGGTATGGAATTTTCAGCATGTGATATCGGTAGCTCAAATTTTACAGGCCAACCATAGATATCAGGTGTGCGTCGGCAGGGGATCGAATCCCGGACCATGTGCAAGGTTGGCAAGAGTCATAACCGTTGTGCGTTGGCAAGATGAGCCGACATTTTCCCATAGGTGGACAGTAGGAATAGCTTTAGCAAGAATACACATGTGAAATGAAATAGTGCAAATGTAGAAACTGGGCACTAAGGTAAAGCATTGTTCCGTATATAAGTTTATTTGATAATAACGCAACAGTGAGTGATACAGTACTCCCATCAAAGTACTTACATAGTTCCTTGTCATTTTCCATATACCCGATAACAGTGTTGCGTCATCTCGACTGCGCGTGTGCAGTGTTGAATCGATAAATAAACATTCTGTGATTAACATCTCTCTCTCTCTCTCTGTCTTCACCAAACTATTATGCTTTTTAATACTGTCACCTTGTTCCACCAACCCTATTGTGTAATTTAAATGCAAGTGAATCAATTGCAATGACCAGACTCTTTTCTAGGTTATTTAATTCAACAGGGTGAATCATTCTACGTGTAGTTGAATGCATATTTTTCAATAATCTGGCTGACCCCGATCTTATTACTAGTTTGACCTATATAAATAAAGCTGATCTCACAGTGATTGTATGGTATGTGGTAAAATTAGACTATTTTTCTTATTTGGATCTATCGGGTCTTTAGTTGGTTTAAAATCCATCTTAATTCCAAGGTAATATTAAAAGAATCTTACATAAGGCTTCTAATGTTTCTTCTTTAAATGGCGGTACTATCAATGCTTTAAATTTCTTATTATTTATATTATCTGCATGATTACTCTTACTTTTTTTATGGGTTTTAATACATTTTTGAAGAAATTCTGGCGGGTAGTTAGTTAGTTATTCACTATTAATATTCTCTTTATTTACCTCCATTTTAAGGGGGATGCATTAAAGTCTAAGTATTTATTAGAATGTGCATCTAACAGTTAACCTGCTCTTGTGGAGCAAGGTACATTGGCCGTAGCCAGAGGACACTTTCCACCACACGGATACCAGAACATATTCCATCATGCTTTTACAAGGGAGAAGGGAAGTGTGTGCGATGCTCTATTCTAGAATACTTGATCGAATTCTGTCATTCCACCAACCCTGACCATGATTTTATCATCATTTTTCGAAGTCACGTTAACTTGCCGCATTTTCTTCGTTGCAAACTTCTAAAGACAGCGGAAGCCTTGGCTATTCATTCATGAATTTAAGCCAGATCCTTGTGTACAAAAGAAGTATGTACGATCCCTACTTCTACCCTGGCCGTAGAGGAACAGACATATATTTATTTTTCTTTATTTAGTTATTCTGTGTACCCTTCCCTTATTACCACGATTATTATTATTACTTGGAGGATTTCACCATGAGCTGACATCAGTTAGAGAACCACTGGAAAACGTGCAGGGAGTGCTGGACAGCTGTTTCGTCAGCCTAGTTAGGGGCTCTTCATCAGTACGCACCCACCGGGATTCGAACCCATGACCACCTGGTTACAAGGAGGGCTCGTAGACCGTTGAGCCACTGGGACCCAATCCAATGGCCAGACCATGAATTCTTACTTCTGCCTATTCACGACATAGCTCGACCATTTCGCAATGTCTTCTTCGATGAGTTACTGCCTCATCTTCAACCTGCTGTACACATATATATGTGAAGAATTTCGAGAAATGTTCAGATTTTATAACATCATAAATGTGTAATTTACATATCTCCACCTAATCTAGAAGCAGGATTAAACGTTCCAAGAGATATACACTTCCAAGGGTCGATAAATATTTCTGCAACTGTTGAGGATATCGGTGATCACATAGCCGACCAACTTAGTTGTTTGTATATTCTATTTTGGAAGGCATAATTCTACACCTGCTATTATTTTATCAATCGACAGCCTTATCTTATTTGTAAGTTCAGGATCTATGTTCATTTCATCCCTTTGTCCAGTTACATACGACCAACCTTTCTTCTTTATCAGACTTATTACTGGGTTAAGAGAGGTTTAGAAGTGTGCCAGCCTGGAATCAAACCCAGGTTACGTGCGTGGTTCGTGGGCGCATTCTACCACTGAATCTATTGATATACATTAATTTTAAATGAGTCTACTGAATCACTACAGAATGGGAAATGATGAGGAAGGTGTATGAGGGTGACATGGAGATCAAATGAAAAGAAAATGAAAGCCCATGGGAAGTCGTGGAGGTAGGTATCGAAATGAAGGAGAGACCAGAATACAGTAGAGATAGACTGCCAGATTCTTATGTTCTACTTGGAAACCAGGAAGTAAATAAGAATATAACAATCTAATTGCTGGAAGATCCTGGGTTCAACCCCCGGTGGGTGGGTACTGATGAAGAGTTCCAGACTAGGACAAAACAGCTGTCCAGTACTGTCAGCTGGTTATCCAATAGTCCTCTAACCAATCAAATCCCTGCGAACCAACACTTTAATATTAACAGTGTATCACTGTTATTAGATGAAGACAATCTGCAGGAAGCCTTGTCTGAAAAATAGGTCTGGTGCTTGTTGGCACTTATCAGTCAGTAAGGCGTATTCTTGATGGAACACTCATGTCCCTCCTGAGATTTAAACCCGTGTCACCTTGTGTTGCAATGAGAGACGTTACTACTGAGCTACTGGGACTCGCGATTGACCCCTTGCAGGATTATATTAGATACTTTCATTGAACACTAATTAGTTTGTAATTAGTATCATACGTCTATTCCCGTGTTTGGTGCAGACTGAATTCTATCAGTCAAGTTTGCAATGTAGGCCAAATAGCTCAGTGGTGACGTCTCTGACTGACTGGAGGATTGCGTGATAAGGATTCGAGTCTCCGGAAGGACATGAATTTCAAGATTACAGACACGTTTTGCTGATTACTAATGAGTGACAAGTGCCAACGAGCACAAAACATAGGTGTCAGCAGGGCTTCTGCCAATTCCATGCGACCATCTAATACCAACAATTCACATTGCATCATGATGTCAAACCACCTAGTGGCATGCAGCCAGGTGAGGGCTTACGACGAGTTGTCATCTGAACTGGTGACGACTAGTGGTGTCCGTCAAGGATGCCCATTATCCTCTTTTCTATTCAACTTTATCATAGATGTACTGATGGACTTAATCCTAAGTGACTTCAGAGACTCAAGGGTTGACTTGCTACCGGGAAATAATCTCGTTGACTTGGAATATGCAGACGATATAGTCCTTCTAGGCGAGGACGCTGAAAAAATGCAGAGTCTTTTTAACACCTTGAGCTGCAATCTACGAATGTTTGGCATGCGAGTCGCCCCCGCCAAATGCAAGATGATGCTACAGGACTGGACTACACCGACTCCTAGATTAGAAATAGGGAGTGCAGTGGTAGAGCACGTAGACTGTTTCGCTTATTTGGGAAGTACCATCAGCCAACGCCAATTCGTTGATCGCTGAAGAAATCTCAGCACGGATACAGAGGGCTAGTTTCGCATATGCCAGTTTACGCTGTCTCCGGTATAGTAGACGTGATATCCGGCTGGCCGTCGATCAAAGGGCGGGTGTACTGCTCATCAGTCCTCTCCGTCCTCCTTTATGGCTGGCTGTGAGACATGGTGGCCATTGAGAGTGGAAGACATGAAAAGCCTGGCTAGCTGTCTTTGATAATAGGTGCCTGCTTTCTATTTCCCGTGTGAAGTGGTATAATAAGGTGAGCAATATTGAGGTTAGGCCCGGATCGAGTGCTAGGTAGGTGGGAGGGGAAATCAGTCGACGAGGCTGTGAAGTTACATCGACTGAGATGGTTAGGAAATGTGTTACACATATCTAGCCTAGCCATCGCCTTCCTTGACGGGCAATGTCAGCTGACATAGGGTCAGGCGGCGGTGAAATCGAAACATGGCACCAGTCTGTTGTGAACTTTTCTTATAATACGTATCTAATCATATTCATATCTCTACCGCTATTAACACTCTTTTTTTCCTTTATATGTTTAAGCCATTCCGGCTTCATTGTAAAATGAATAAAGCCTAAATTCTTGGTTCATTCGTCTTTTCAAGATTCAAGCATCACTCATCGTTCTAAGACTCAATCACCTTCGTAACAATTTATTCATTTTACAATATTCATGGAACGATTTTTCCGACCTGATCGGTTCGACGTAGAACCTAACGCAGTTGGAGCTGCCAAGAAGTGGGATCACTGGTTTGCGACTTTTTCCTACTTCATTGAATCAATGGGATCCGAAAATCCTTCGAAACTACATATTCTCTTCAATCATATTTCTACTTCTGTATACGAATGCATTTCTGAATGCAAAACATACGAAGAAGCTATCGACACTCTCAAGAGTCTCTACATGCAGCCTTGCAACGAAGTGTTTGCTCGACACTTGTTAGCA